AAAAAACATAACTGATCCTGATTATAAATACGATTGGAGATCAGCTTATCGCAATTCAGACAAAAGGCTATGAAAGGCCATCTTATAAAGAATTAAGAAACAATATTACGATCACATCCAGTTAGCCGCAATCAGAAGTAATGGTACAATGGTTGACGAAAGAGTTTTATAAGTGAATTTATTTTGATGGTAACTGAGGTAGGATTTTTATCTAAGATTTTAAGGTCCAGGAATAATAAATTATAATCATTTCTTTGAAATAAATTGATTTCGGATCACAGATCAAGTTCAAGAGATGGTTACAATCTTCGCTGGGTGAGGGGGATTTGAGTTTTGTTTAATACTGGACTGTAGCAATAATTTGAAGTTACTGAATTGCAGATTAAGTTTTCTTTCTCGATGCACTCAACAGATTTGTCGGAGGAAACCTGGGATGAAATTGAGAAAGCCTGGGCCGAGCAGGAAGAGCCTTCGGAGTAAAACAAAAGAAGTAGCTGATTGTTTTCAGGAGCAATTTGAGTTTGCATCACACGAGTCAATGTTGTAGTTGCTAGATGTGACAAATATTTGAAATAGTCCTTTAATTGGAAGTAATATGATACCCCGGTCATAATCACGTGGTTTCCAATCATTACCCCAGTAAGGGGATTGTTTCAGTTGTATCGTAAATTTTGGTAAAACATTTAATACAAGCGAAAGCTATCACAGATGAAAACGCTCTAAACTTGGAGCATCAGTGGTGAGGTTTTTAATTTCAAAGTATCAGTACTCCTACAGAGACTCAAAATTTCCACAAGTTAGTACTTGTAATCAAATGGTGACGAGTGAAATTACGGAAGAATTTCACGCGTGTTTTGTCCAAATCCTAATAATTTCTCGAGCCTTTTGATTACCAGTTGATATTATGGATGACGAATTGCACTCACAATCGTTGGTTTTGGATAAATTTATCACGTTGATTATAGATTGAGAACTCCGCGCACCGAAAACTTTAGATCTTAAATTTTTCCTTAAGTTCAGAATTGATGTGCTTTTTCGTGTGTTTAGGTTTTCTAAGTCGTCTTTTAATGCCCGTGACATCTTCATCCATAACATTTTAAAACTTCGTCGCCATCTTTTCACTGAGATGTACGGAAGGTTTCCATTTCATATGTGAAATTACAAATTAATGCTCAAATTTCGCGCCAAAATTAAGGAGGAATTCGTCACCTTTGATATTATAATTACAATGAAATAATCTTGATTTGTGCATTATACATGGCTCGTTTATCAATTTTATTACCAGAGTACTTAGTAGTTATTAGAGACCCTTAGATTCGAGGACGAGGACAACTACGAGGACCAGATTTAACTTCAAGTTTTTTCGCGTCTTCTCAAAGAAATAGATACCTCGGAAAGTTTCATTGTGCTTTTCTTCACCAAATTATTTGGCATTATTATTTTACTGAAGGAGATTAATCCGTCTCCCTATCCTAAAATGATAAAAATTCTAACATTTGTCAACTTGTTTCCGNTTGTATCGTAAATTTTGGTAAAACATTTAATACAAGCGAAAGCTATCACAGATGAAAACGCTCTAAACTTGGAGCATCAGTGGTGAGGTTTTTAATTTCAAAGTATCAGTACTCCTACAGAGACTCAAAATTTCCACAAGTTAGTACTTGTAATCAAATGGTGACGAGTGAAATTACGGAAGAATTTCACGCGTGTTTTGTCCAAATCCTAATAATTTCTCGAGCCTTTTGATTACCAGTTGATATTATGGATGACGAATTGCACTCACAATCGTTGGTTTTGGATAAATTTATCACGTTGATTATAGATTGAGAACTCCGCGCACCGAAAACTTTAGATCTTAAATTTTTCCTTAAGTTCAGAATTGATGTGCTTTTTCGTGTGTTTAGGTTTTCTAAGTCGTCTTTTAATGCCCGTGACATCTTCATCCATAACATTTTAAAACTTCGTCGCCATCTTTTCACTGAGATGTACGGAAGGTTTCCATTTCATATGTGAAATTACAAATTAATGCTCAAATTTCGCGCCAAAATTAAGGAGGAATTCGTCACCTTTGATATTATAATTACAATGAAATAATCTTGATTTGTGCATTATACATGGCTCGTTTATCAATTTTATTACCAGAGTACTTAGTAGTTATTAGAGACCCTTAGATTCGAGGACGAGGACAACTACGAGGACCAGATTTAACTTCAAGTTTTTTCGCGTCTTCTCAAAGAAATAGATACCTCGGAAAGTTTCATTGTGCTTTTCTTCACCAAATTATTTGGCATTATTATTTTACTGAAGGAGATTAATCCGTCTCCCTATCCTAAAATGATAAAAATTCTAACATTTGTCAACTTGTTTCCGCCACTTCGATATTCTCGCCAAAATTCGTAGTAGGATGATTACGGCTATCACGTTTTCCCGCCAAAATGACTTTGGTTCCTGCGCGTGCACTAAAAAATCGTACCTGTAGTCTCACTAGTCTTAGAATCTAACGGTCTTTATTGATCGGGACGTTTCGACCGCTTACTGCTGGTCTCAATTACGCGTTCATGCAGATTTGCTGTGAGGTACCATTAGTGGCACCATGGCTGCTAGTGATTAGGTTTCGAATCTCAACCATGGTTGTTAATTTCTATCCTTTGCATTGTCATTTTTTTTTTTTGCTTCCCTCGGGGGTTCGCTTTGCGCCTTAATTCTGCAATGACAGCTTGTGTTGAAGCGTACTTCTAAATCTTAGTGAGTAATTTTGAGGTACGTAAGTAGTAAAATCGACACCATCGCCTGATGAAGAGGTCTAGCAGTACGCGATCGAAACGTCCTGATCAATAATTGTGAGACAATTGTGAGACAAACGTTAAACAAACCCTTTTAATAATTACGGTATAGGCCCTCGCAAAGTACATTAGATAATTGCTTTGTAACGGGAGGTAAAATACCGAGACAAATTTCTACTATGTTAGAATTTTGAGCTCTGTAGGTTTTATGTTTGCAAAATATGTATATTGCATTAGTTGAAAGTTTTATAACCAAAACCCACCTGCCAAGAATTTCTGTACTTTTCTAGGAAGTTGCACCAACAGTGAAGACAATACCTGTGGGTATGTGTTCAAAAATTTCAAATGGCTGTTTAAAGTCTTGTCATCAGCTTTTATTAATTACAAATACGGTGAAATTTAGGCCCTGTCCACACGCAGTCGTATTCGTTTGAAAACTCAACTGCCTTTATTTAGGTCACCCTATTGGACCGTGCGTTGGTGTCCTTTCATAGCAACAGTCCTTGATGGCGCAGCGCGCGATATGTCTTTGGAAACATCTGTTATATAAATGGGTAACATAGATTTTATATTTAGGCTGAGTGTAGTTCCTCTTGTGCGTTGAGTATTTTAATGGAATGGATGAACATTAGGCAGGAGACAATATAAGCAGTTTTAAGAGTTAAAGAAGAAGAGTGAGCTTGGAACTGATTAACACAGGGAAGCGTTAACCTTCCAATGCTAGTGTTCTCTTGTCCTTCAGTAACAGGGAGAGACACTATCACTCTTAACTGACATGAATGACCCAATTCATTTGACGCTCGTTCGAAGGATTTCAGTGAAATGGTCAAAACGAGGTCTGTTAAACATATACAACACCAGGTAAAAATAGAACCTTTATTTTTTTTTGTTTAAACCATTATCATGCATTACAATGCCCAAAAACAAATGGGCATAAATTGAAGACAAAATATACAGTTTTTTAAACTACATTATGTTCCGCCACGTGGAAGTTTGTTGCCTTATACTAAGACTTGTGAACATAATTTAACACGTTATATCTTTTTATGAAGTATTTTTATTTGATTAATTGGTAGCTGTAGAAACCTCAAAATCCTACTTTTTAAGAATCTACAGCGATAGTTATATAAATATTAAAACATTTGAACGTCATTAAAACTGTCTTATATGATAGGCCGACTGTTTTAAAACCCTTAGCACAAATCACCCAACTCTCTCTCATTTCACTTTAATGACATCACATCACATCGATCGCCGTCGACGGTAGTCGTAGAGGCGGTTCTGGTAGTAACCACAGTCGTAATCTCGTAGGAGGCTACCTCAAACAGCAGCTGGAAATGACAGTCGGTTATGGAGGTGAGACACGATGATGATGATGATGATGATAATCTGCAAATTAAAGGAGATTGGAGATTTTTATAGTTATGTTGATGACTCTTCACTTCGTTTAACCTCTAACCTAAGCTGTTCTTGAAATCAAGATCATGATGTATCAGGGACGTCAAGAATTTCGTTTACTCCGACAAACTTATGCTTAACGACGTCAAAATTGAATTTCCAGGCATAGCCACCCGGTATCTATTAAAATATGGCTGCTGTCAGCGCCATCAGGGTATCGTGATGTATCCAAATTGAGGATTGTGCGGAATTTGGAATCGTGGTTCGATGACCAGTTAACTTAATGACGTACACGTTCCTAAAAACTGCACTAGTCCTTTCTTTTATTCTCTATTTTGTTAGTAGCTAAATAGACTACCATGATAGTCTACTATGGTCAGGTCTAAGTACCTCAACTCCATTTTATGATTGGCTACTTTTCTGTTGCTTTAAGAGATGCAAGAAGCTCTGGCGATAAAAACGGACAGGGAGGGGGCCAAAGAGAATCTTGGGCACAAAGATTACAGCAAATAACTTAGGGTTATTTTGACTGAAACTGGTCATAACTTTTATCAATGATTAAGAAAAAGAAGGTAAGTACTTTATGTCATCAAAGTACACAAGTGCGATATGTATACAATTTATGTACGCGTGCGTTATTGGCATAGCTAGAAGTAAGAGTGGACACTGCAAACCCAGTGAGAGTTAATGCAATTAAAACCATGAAACCACCTTTAGACTGCTATTTTCGGACCATAGACTCAATTTAAAAATGGCCGGCTGAATAATATTCTTTAGCCCCTCTCCTCCGCAGAGACCTGCTTGTGTTGTGGGGAGGCTGGGGAGAAAGGAAAAGAGAGCGCTTTCTATTTTTTCGATTATTGCTATTTTTATCCAGCGGGAGCCTCTGCGGAGGAGAGATTTCTTTAGCTGAAATTTAAATTGATCGCACTAACCTTGCTCGAGATGACGGGTATTCCTGTGACTTCTGAACTCAAGAACGAGGCTGGTAAGACTGATTTTAGTATGAACCCAAAAGAAAAATTAAACGAATGGCAACCTTTCCATATGGTCTATGAGCTTAGGATATCTAAAAAAGCTTTAGTATTGCTAATAACATTTCACATTCGATGAAGCTGTATGTTTAAAGGAGAAAATGTAAATATAGGCCACGAAACCGATCAAGCGGTTTGCTGGCTATTTCGGTTTGTGTAGCATGACACTTTTTTATAATGGTATCGTCTCCTAAAACTGTGGCATGATGCATCTAGTGTGATTGGTGCCAACGAATACGCAGTTTAATCAATCATATCTAAATATTTATGCTGTTTTCGAGTTTAACTCTATAAAGAGTATAATGTTTTGTTTTTCTGCGTAACTTGAATATTTTCTACTGAGCCGAGCCTTATTTTGTCCTCTTAAATTTTAAAACTTGAACTGACAAAGAGAAAACAACCATATCCTTCCATTATCATCATCATTATCATCATCATGATACAAAAAGGGTTGTGAAACACATCATTACGTAAAAAGGCCGGCAGGAATAAAAGTCATTAGCCATAAAAATTCTCGGGTTATCCGCAATTATCACACTTTATTCAGCCAATCAGCTTCCAGAGGGCGAGATGATAAACAAATATTTAATGAGACTCAGGGAAGTAAATAAAAGGTCTGAAACGAGGCTGACTGTTGAGTAATAGCTCGAAGGAATTCAGCTACTTAACCTGCAGGGAGACTGAACAGATTACATCATAAAAATTCTTTTTTCTTGCAAGGTAAGGTGACTGAAAACCTCTCTTAAAACTC